AAGGCTTCTCGAGGCTTCTCGATTTCTAATATGCAAATGAGACTACAACGGAAGGGTCATACTCTTACAAGTGAATTGAGTAACTATCACTCATCTTAATATCTCGTAGCAAAGTATGAAACATTCGTGATGATGCCCATATGGATAGCTATGTTGAGCATGTATCCACATCTTCTTCTTTTTATTGATGAAAAGAATAAGAGAAGTGATACTTCTTAAAAGACTAGTTGAAAAGCAAAGATATATCACGTGACCCTTAGCTAACACGCGTGATTGTTAAAGCTCGAGGGGGAAAAGAAGGTGAAAGAAACACCATGGGCATTGTGCCGTGTTTGAGAGGTAAACCAAAGTGTCACCATGCTACTCATTCCTATTTCAAGTGATTTCATTCTTCAATATGAGATTCATTCTCAATTGTTTAAGGGAGAAAAGATTTTCATTTTCAACAAAATATTACTTCTCATTGACAATGGTAAGGGGCGACTGGAGGTGGAGTCCGCCCACCAGCGGCATTTGTTGGTCAGTGGTGAGAGATGGGGTTTTCGATTGTTTTGTGTTTATGAAAATCTAGAATGGAAAATCAATCCTAACTATAATTAGTAATTTGATTTTGCACATTTTGAATAATTCTATTCCATGTGAAATCCACATCAGTACTCTAATTTTTCTCCAAATATAAAGGTAGTGGGAATTGGGATTTTATTTCTTGAGGAATCCGATCGTGCAAAGGATTAAATTAGGCCTTCGTGCGGATAATTACGATTGAAAATGGAATATTATAGTGCTTCTATGGTCAAGCAATGCTTAGAGATGGCCACGGGCCATGGGGCATATGCACCTCGCAAGGTAGTTGTTGGGGCGATGACAATAGTAGCTCACCCCCGATTAATTCGCCCTTTTTATAAATGTTAAAAACATCTGCTTATATATATAACAAGAAATATATTAAAACAAAAAACAAATTGTATCATGTTACAATTTATTATTAACATAACCTAAAACTAAAGGAAAATAAAAAATACATATGTTATTAAGTGAATAACAGATAAAATTAATATAAATAAGTAGAGTCGTGAAATTATGATATCTTTAATATTACAGAATATGAAAATTGGAAGTACAATAATTCATAATTGTGATGAAACTTCTAACAATTTTATATTTTTAGTTATTTTAAGAAATTAACAAAAAATTTCGTCCCACGGGGCGGTAATGGGCAAAGCTCCATTTCACGGGGCGAGGACGGGAAATGCAATCTCCGGCACCGCCCTACCTCGTGCCCATATCTACTACAATTAAAGCGTACAAGTACTTTTTTTGTTTATCCGCTTAAATTTAAATATTATTTAAACTTTTTAGTAATTATGAAAAAATAATATATGAACCGTGTCAACATTTGCGTTTTGCAAAAGTTCAAAGTGCTTTGAATTTTTTAAAAAAAAATTGAAGTGCATGAGCTGCAATATCTTTAACTAGTAAAAAAATAAAAATCAATTCAAATAGACCTAAATTAAAGTCTTTTTGACTTTTACTATGAAGAACTATGCTTTCTTTTGAATCAATGAGGCAACTTTGTAGAAAACTATTGGTCCTCCGGCCACAAAATATGGGTCAATCACACTATTGAAGCAAAAGCACCTATTTTAGAAGCTAAGGGGTGAGCATCGAGATAGGGTCAATCCTAGACTGACCTTGGACCGGCCCAACTCAGCTGGTCTTCCAGTTTGTTGGTTTTCCTGAGTGCCGAGGCTTTAGGGCGCCCACAATCCTAATCCTAGGGACGGATTGGAACCTATCTTGTGCGGTTGTTCCTTTGTGCTGAGGCTTTAGGATTGTTCCGGGAAATAAACCTGTAGATTTTTTTTTGTTGCCAAACCCTAAGCTTATAACTTAAAGTGCCTAACCTCTCCCCAAGTCTCACTCTCACTCTCTCCCTACTCATTTATTATTCGCTAGTGCCGATCATCAGCAATGAAAACTCCAGGATCTCAGCAATTTAGATTTATCATCATTCGCAGTCAACGTCTTCATCTGTAAGGTAAGTACCTCCATACTCGGTTCTAAGAGAAACAGAGGCGGGGAATCTTAACTTAAATGGCCATATTTATTTTGCATCTTCATCGACAATCACAGTAACAATTTCTTTTTATTAATGTTTGATGCTTCAACATGATACCATTAACTTGAACAATCATCCTAGCATTTGAAAAAAACAATAATAAAACGGGGCTTGTAACCAGGGTCCTTGTCAGAATCTATAACATCGCAATCTCCCTTCTCATACTCGAAACAAAGATGATAAATTTGTGAATCTAATTGTGTGGCATTATGGGTGCTTAACTCAACTCACACAGATGAATTTAGCAATCTCAGAAGCTCTGACTTTCAAGAATGAGAAATGCCACGTATTATTGATCGTTAAGTAGCATGAGAACATTTTTATTCTAATTCTCAGCAGCTCTTACTCTCTTTTATGATCTGTTGGTGCTCATTCAATTGTATGAAGTCATGTGGTGTCTCTCTTTAATGCTAATTCTCCAGGTTTCCATTTTTAGTTTCTGGATAGGGAACAAAATGCTGCAACTTGGGGGATATGTTGTTGGGGTGTGAGTTTGTATTTTTTTTGTTAATTTGTATATGTGTTCACAATTTTGTTGCTTAGTAATCTCATTGTCAATAAATATGCAATTTCAAATAGTACATTTGTCGTTTCAAGGAATACAAAAAAAGAATTATTTAGTCTCGCACTGACCCTGAACCAGACCAGACCCAAGGATTGGTCCCCGGTCTCAAAAATTGAGGACCAACATTGTGCGGGTTATTCTCCAGGTTAGGCGCTGAATCGGCCCAACCCGGATCATGCTCACCCTCCTAACCTGTATCGACTTACTCCCAGTTGTGCCAAACGTTACGCGAACTCAATTACTCCTAACAACAAAATTTTCGTACTTGACCAGAAATCTTTAATCAGATCTGGTGCGAAACGAAAATAGTTTGTTGGAAAGTCGGTCAGGAGAAACTTCCAAAGTAACAGAGGAAAAGGAAACTCAAGAACATATTTAGTACGGAGTTTCCATTAACTTGACATAGTCACTGGGCTGTAAATGGGCCAAGGTCAGCCATCCCAATCCGAACAAGGTCTGGCCTTTTCTAAGCCCTGTGATCTATTGATCCTACTGTAACTTATCCCCAGCTGAATTGACTCGATTCGATCTAGGTCAATTTGGTCCAAATCCCCAATCTTCTTACAAAAATATTGTTTGTTAGTTAGTCAAATTCTAGAAATCAAGCATGTCGTTATTGTGAAATTTAGTTATATCTTTTAACAAGAAAAAAAATAACGAATTCATATACTTCAACTTTAGAAAGACGTAACTTTTGATTCGAATGGAATGTAAGTATAAGCTAGAAACCTTATTTAGAGGCTTAGAGCCCATCTTTTGGTGTCAAAGGTCAAAGGATCTGAGCTTACCGAGCTTACCATAACACTAATTAAATAATTTTAATTACATTATTAATCTATTTTTAAAGGTGTGCAACATCATCTCCTTCCTGTCGCCTGCTTTCTTACAATTTTAGGAAATACATTTAAAGGGTGGTGAATGCATAATCTACGATCATCGAACATGGTCGTTTTAATCGTCATGTGCTCAATTTATCTTTTAGGACATCACAAGTTCAAGTCATATCGTGAACGACCATTTGACTGATATATAATCTTGGGCCTTGCTATCTCTTGAGGAGTGGGAAGTTATGAATTGATGACACGTCATTGTCATTGGACTACAACAGAGTCAACAATCTCGGACCCTAAGAGATTGGGTAACCGTAGTAATTATGACTTAAATTATCCATTTCGTAGCAATGAGTTCATCAACTGTACATCCAAGCAAAAGAGAAGTCATTGTGGAATGCTCAGACAATTTCTATGAAATTCCAACCTTCAGCACTTCTCGTTTCCTTATCGGACTTCCATATAGCCCTGTAGCTTTTACCGAGGTTTTTCTCAGGCCAAAGGACATTACCTCTTTTATCAATGTAGTTGTTGATTAGCTTCATAGTTGTTATCTGTACTAAGTGTGCCACATCAGATAAAATGCTCGCTTGGTGGCTTTTTGGATCCTTGACTCGAGCAGGACATGTTCTCCAAGGAGAAAGAATCCCAAGGCAGGCGGAGGGGTGTCATTCCTGAATCGTGACTAAGAAACAAGCGGTCATGAACTCTTGTAACATCAGTAAGGTTAAGGTACTTTACCAATGAAATTTACAACTCGGCCATTTGATGTGGACATTTTTCCAAATGGTGTAGAATATGATGGAGTTCTTTTTTTCTTGCTTTTCTTTTGTTGGGAAGAATGCGACCCCGAAGACACAGTTGGTTGGTCTAAGCAATGCTGTGCAACTAGAAAGAGACTAATTGCTCGGCCGACGACAAGTAGGGGAACAAAGATATGCTCTTGTCATTGACATTAGAAAGACATCCAAAAATGTCTCAGATCCTAACAGAAAAGTTGCTATTGGCAATAGCAATGTAGCAGTTTATTGAATTTGTTCCTTCGACTTTAAATTGTTTTCTTCTCCCATGAGCTTTGTAATTTCAGACTAGACAGATTCATTTGGATGCACCTTGGAAGTGAATCGGTTAGATACCTGTTTCATCTGTTATCCTTATGCAGGTTCCTTTTGCTGTTACCCCACAATACAAACCAAGGATCGTCGGCATCTTCCTTCCTCGAGCTTCTCCTAGTTATTTATGTCACTGTATTGATAATAATATTCCCTCATGGAAATATATGTCTCCATTATAAATTACATAGTTAAAGCATTGCAAATCACAAGGCAGAGAAAGTGACTTACATAGGATAAACCTTTTGCATTTATAAGCAGTGTGTCTTTCCTTCACTGGCATTCCCTTCTGCAGCATTACAAGCCTACAATCCAGAAATAGTCTTTTTGTTTGAAGCTTTATACTCTAAATCTAATTGAGAAGCATAAGAATGATGAGCCCCAAGAAGCTAATGAAGATGGCGAGGAAGTGTGAAAATCTAGCCACTTCAGGGCGGAAAAGAATTTCCCATCCAGGAGTTAATGTGAAGTTGAATTCATCATCAGCACCAGAGAAGGGGCATTTTGTCATCTACACAACTGATGGAGGCCGTTTCACGATTCCCTTGCAGTGTCTCCATAGCAACATCTTTCAAGAGCTCTTCAAGATGTCTAAAGAAGAGTTTGGTTTGTCGGGGGACGGTCCTATCACCATGCCCTGCAATGCGGCTTCCATGGAGTACATAGTATTGCTTGTCCGAAGATGCATAGCCAAAGACATAGAGAAAGCTTTGCTCAACTCTATTGCATTCAGTCCATGCTCGTTGGCTGCTGTTGTGCATAGCAAATGTGTGGATCAGCAAGTTCTTTTTCTTGGTCAGTGAAGGAAACACTGGTGATGTGTATATACTTGGAAGAAAATGTAGGGTTTGTATAGCAATTGGAAAAAGTGTAGTTTGTACAACGAGTGGCAGGAAGAAGAGAATCCTGAAAATCTCCACATGGACACATTATGCATGACATCACAATAATGAAGCTATGTAGTCCATGGTTCAACTTTATCAGGCTGGCTTTGATTGATTAGTACATCAGACACAGATTTGCCCATCACGTGCATCTTTCTCACAGAATGGCATTCATATTCTGTAAACCACAATGGTATGGCAGTAAGTCCTAGAAAGTGGAAGAGTTAGCGGTTCTAATACTACATGCACCAGTTGCAACTAAATTTTTAATTCTACGTATTCATATTGTTCCATGTAAGGGTAGAAAAAAAAATAGGAACCGGCTAGTTCAGTACCATGAAAATGTATATGCATATTACTTGGTAAACTTGACCACATTTGTTGTCTTGTCGGTAGTGGGGAGACCAGATGATAGTGCTCAATTCTAACCGATGAAATGTCAGGGGCAAGAAAAGTAAGATTTAAATCTGTAAGATGTAAAATCATGATTGCGATTGATTTAAATCTGCAGCATTCTAATCAGAGTGAGTTCTTCTAATTCCTTGCTGGGCAAGTTTCCTGCATATATAATTGTTTTTTTTTTTTGGTAAGTCTGCATATATAATTGTTCATATGCGTAAAATTATGATTGCGATTGATTTAAATCTGCAGCACTCTAATCAGAGCGAGTTCTTCTAATTGCTTGCTGGGCAAGTTGATACTTGAAATGTTTCAATTGCATTTTTCACATCTGACTCCAAAACTTCCTAAGAAGATCACTCTTTTGTTAAGAAAGTTGATACGAAATTCTGAATTTGAATATGGCCCCTCTGAGAAGTAAAATAAGCGCTACTAGACGAGAGATTGAACAAACAGTTCAATGCTCGACACGACACAGTTTTAGACAATTGAAGTATAAACACAGAAGAAAGAATTCTTGCACAGGGTCCCAATTAAGTTATTCTAAGCCTTTTAGAATAGTCGAGAGCTCCTAGTTCGCACATTCTTAGTTGCCAATGTGCTATAAATAGCTCTACTAATTAATAAGACTTGCATCTAACGCTCATTTAGACTTGACAGTTGTGATATGTCAATTTGATGATCTAGTGTGGACGGTGTCTTTGGCATTTCTGAAAATACATTATGGGTAAATTAGTGATTCTGTGCTTAGGCACAACCTGTCAAGTGTAATCAAGAAATGAGTAAACTCAATTCTTGCTTCTTCGTGTTTATGGCGGCCTTAATTAAACAAGTCGTTTTGCATGGAAACCTCAACACAAACTTACTGAAACATGATGAGGAATCTCAAGAACTGTGCATATACGACTACCCGATTGCTTGACCTCCCATTCAGCGAAATGAAAACCTTCCATTTCTACGGTCCTTGTTTTTTAGACTGAAAAAGGTCCTTCTCGTTTATACTGTCATTCACAAGTGGACTTGGTGTTGTAACTAGCCAATGCATACAAATATATCTAAATATTCTTGTTAGCTGCACTCCGGGGTGAATTGCTAAATATCTGGACCATTTGTTAATCAATCATTTCACTATCTTGTCTCAATGAAATGTGCTCATAGTCACAAAGTATTGTAAAGCAAGATAACTATACTCGTGATAATTTAAAATGATACTATTTCTAACAAAGCTATGTTGCAGAACTGGTCTTCTCTGGTTCACTGTCACATGCCTGAATGTTAGAGGCTCTATAGTGCGTTTTTGTCACCTATCTGTGAAAATGAAAGTATTGGTTCTGCACTAAGCTTTTTTCTGAACTGAAGAGGGGATCATCGCTTAGATGTTGAACGTCTGAACTGATCCAAGATCCCGGCAAAACAGAAAAAATTGTAGAATGTTAGGACAATTTAAGTGAAATTCGGATGGTCAATACTTTCCTTGTTTCATCCTCGGAGTTGCAGATGTTTCTGCAGTTCTTACCGAGGTTTTGTCTGCCGAAGGGCATGACCACTTTTATCATATGGCTGATTTGGTCTTACCATTACTAAGCGCGCTACATAAGACAAAGTACTTGGCAGATTATTGAATCATTAACTGACATGTTCTCCAAGGAGAAAGAATCCCAATGCCGTCGCTGGATGCTGGACCTCATTTCTAACTAACCGAGATATGAACGGTAATGAAGATTCTTCATAACTCAGAATATCAGACTGATGCGGACCTCATCTAAATGTTTTTCTTTGGGTGGAAAGAGTACGACAGACGAGTTAGCTGCACAAGTAGGAGCTGTAATACTAAAAACATAAATGCTTCGGGCGAGAGCAACCAGGAAACAAATACATGAACGGATTCTCTCCAAATATCCAAGTGAGATTAGATATCTCAAATAAACCGTACACACAGTGGACGTCCTCTTTAGTCTTTAGGGCGCAAGTGGAGTTCTTCAAATAAAAAGGAAAACAAAAGGGCACAAAAAGAAGTCTAATTGGGAGCTGCACGGAAGAGCTCTGTGAAGAAAGCCGCTACAGGAGGACAAGGGGCACGCGTACATGTTTATTCGGAAAAAGAAGAGAAACAACACTTGTAAAGGTCCAAATCGAAGGGCTTTACTTGGGAGTTTTGGCTTTTGTTCGTCTGTGTGTGCGTGCCATGGCCTCGGCGTTCGAGCAGTTATGTGAAGATAAATACAGTCGAATTGAGTGTGATTTTAAGTGCGGGAAATATTCTAATGTGTGATCGATTGTAAATTTGTGATTCTCTAAGTGTTAATGGATTATTTATTGATGGCTTTCCCCGTCTCGGATCGAATCATATAAATCTTTGGTGTTCTTCACTGTTCCTCGTTTATTTCTCTGATGACTTTGCTTTGATTTAATTGCAAGATCCGATTAACTTTTTGCATTGATGTTACAATAATGACAATGCAGAATTAGTGAAATGATCGTTTTGACTTTGGCCCAAGCAGATAATTGTTATTGGCAATAACATTAGAAATAGTTACATAATTTCTTTGACTTTAATCCTAACAAAAAAGTTGTTAGGAGGTGAGTTAATTTAGGGTTCGTTTGTTTCCCAGAAAATTTACCTTTTTGGAAATATGACTTTATTTTCCGGTGTTTGGCTAAAACCTAAAAATGGCTTGGAAAGTATTTTCCGTCTTTTAATAAGGAAAATATGATGGGAAAATTATTTAAAAAAATCAATTTTTTAATTATTTTTATAAATTTTTTCTTTTGTTTTTTTCTTTTTGCTTCTTCCGGCCACAATGACGGGTTGGCAACCAGCCACACGTTAGCTCAATCCTCGCCCACGGTCGGCAAAGTTTGCCGCTAAAGGCTGCGAGCTCGCTCAATTTGGTGAAGCCCGAGCTCGTCGGCCTCGTGTGAGCTCAAGCCTCGCCGCGAGCTCACCCGATATGGTGAGGCACAACTTCGCCAGCCGAAAATATGCATACACAGCCAAAATTCGTCATCATCGGCCTTTCCAGTCGTTTCTTCTAATCCGTCTGTGGTTGTTTATGGCCAAAAATATGCAGTCACTACAAAAACACATAGGGAAGTTACTGCCTTGCCTTCCACGGAACATAATCTCTTCTTAGTTTTGATGCGGCTAAAATCTTATTTTATTTCCGCATTTCATTCCAATCCTCTGTTCCTCACTTAATACTTGAGACAACACGATCATCGGTTTGTGTACGGGTGAAATCCATAACTTGTAATCCACCGGTTAAGACATGACTAAAGAAAATTTTTCAATAGAGATTTTACTGGTTCCCGCTGCAAATATTCAAGAAAAAATGAGTTATGCCTTAATAAAAAATTTATTTCGTTGTGGAGGGAAGAGAGAATCGTGTTCGACCAATTTAGTTTGGCACTCTTAGAGATATAATCATCTAAACATTACGAAGAAAAAAGATGGTTCGCGTTTTTTCCACTCCCTCTTTGGCTAAAACACTCCTCAACATAATAATATGACTATATTGCCCTTTGCAGATCCCGCTTTTTAGCATCTCTCTTCGACCAATGTCTTGTCTTCTTCCTTCTCTACGTTCTCTCTCATATGTAACCACTCATAGCAATAGAGAGGTAGAGAAATGGAGACTCCCACGCTTGTGTAGGCGAAGGTAACTAAATTGATCCTCATGACCCACGACAACATCTGCTCGAGTCGCCTGAGTGAAGGCTTTGCACCACATGTCTTACGGCAATAAGGGGATGATGTTCGCAGAGGGTGGCACATACTGACGAGGCATAAGGAGGTTGTACTGCATTTGATCTGCTAGGCGAAAGTGGAGTAGTTCACGCCGATGTGGAGAAGAAGCTAGTAAGGGTGATGAGGTGGCAGCCTTGAGTCATACTCTTTGCAATCTAAAATGCTTCATCGAAAAACCCCTCCTTGCACAAAAAAATAATGAAATTTGCAAAAACAGCGTTGCTCAGAAGCAAATCCTCTTGGTATTTCATTACCTCTCAGAGCATGACAATCAATTTTCTCGCCTTATCACCATTTAGCCATTGAAAATATCCATTGACCAATTTGCTAAATTTCCTCACAAAGAGCGTGAATTACATTTAGGCAGAGCGAGTAAAATCGGTAGCCGCGGAGACGAAGGTGATCAAGGAGGAGGGCTTCATTGACGTCCCAGTGGCAGGTTGATATGACGTTGCCTAGGATATGCGAGCACAAGGATGTGATCTTCATAATTCTCCATTTCTTTGTCTCTAGAGAGCAACTAGAGTTCAACCAAAAAAAAAGAGATAACAAAGATAAGGAAAAAGATTAAGGAAAGTGGATGTGGGACCCACAATAAAAGAAATAGGAAATCAATAAAAAAAGGAACAAATGGATGCTAAAAAGTGGGACCCACAAAGAGCAATATTGTCAAAACATTGTGTTAAATGAGTGTTTTAGTTATAAAGGGAGTGAAAAAAGCGTGGCCCAAAAATATTCAACTTAGCCGCTGTCCTACAAAATGAACAGATCT